TAAGTTTTAGAGAATAAGAGACTGCAGAGTATTAAAGCTCACCCACTTACAGTTAAGGACCATTGTAGAAGGGGAAAACAGAAAGGTTGTAAGAGCCAGGGTTGGTCCATGATCGTAGGGAAACAGAGGCTTTTGGGCCACTGGAAGCTTGCTCATGTGAACTTGTGGTAATGGTGGCATTGAGCACAAGACCCATGCCAACTCAGTCAGACAAGAGCCCAGAGTGGTGCGAGGGTGGTAGGCTGGCCCTAGCCTGAGAACTGTTGGAGACTAAATGCTGCTGTGAGACAGAAAGTAGACCTTCCTTAAGATCTTTAGATAGGCTGAATAGAGTCCAGTGGATGAACTTGCACTGAAGGACATCCAGGTAAAATGCTTGACTGGATGAGACTTAATATATATGGCAGAATACATGAGGCCCAGTGTGGGGGAATTTGGGGGTATGGATGGGGGAGGGGGTCTTAATTGGATTAAGAACTGTTGTATGGGGCTAGAGAGATGGTTCAGTGGTTAGGAGCACTGGCTGCTCTCTCAGAGGACTCAGGTTCCATTCCCAGCACCCATATGGCAGCTAACAACCATCTATAACTCCAGTTCCAGGGGGTCAGACACCCTCCTCTGTCTGCTGTGGTCACTGCATGACATGGGTGCACTTACATATATGTAGGCAATATACTCATACACATAAAATAATAAATAAAATATTTTTTAAAAAGAACTGTTGTGTGAAACGTACAAAAGCTCAATAAAATTTGTTTTAAGTTAAAGGATTTTTAAAAAGCAACGTCATTGTAGAAAAAAATATATGATAAAATTCCATAGACGTGCTCTACTTTGTTGTAAATGTTTTTTATAAAGCCAGTAGATTCTAACAAAGTCTGGTGGTGTGTGCCTGTACTCTCAACATTGGAAGGTAGAGGCAGGAAGATCAGAAGTTTGACTACATAGCAAGTTTGAGACTAGCCTGGGCTATCTGAGACCCTATCTCAAAAAAAGAAATGAGAGAGAGAGAGAGAGAGAGAGAGAGAAACACCTAAAAATGAAACCATCTTAGTTGCTGTGTTAAAATATCCTGACAAAGGCAACTTAGGGAAGGAGGAGCTTATTTTGGTTTACAGCTCCAGGTCTTTCCTTGTGGAGAAGTCGCAGAGGCAGGAGCTTGAGGCAGGCAGTGAAGGAGCAGAGAGCAATGAATGTCTGCAGTACATTCCCTTTCTCCTTTTTATTCAGTCCAGGACCCAGCCCAGTGAATGGTGCCACCCACAGTGGATGGGTCCTCCCACCTCAATTAACCTAAACGAGATAATTTCCTACAGGCATGCCCAGAAGCCTGGTTGCCAGGTGATTCTAGATCTCATCAAGTTTATCTGAGATTAACCTTCACAGATATCTTGCATATCAATACTTGAAATATTTTCTATGCTAAAAGAACAAATGGTTTGGTTGTATTCCTGATTCTCCTTTTTCTACCAAAACAGAACATCTACTAAGTGCACCTTATAGAACTGAGAGGAGGACACTTTCTTGAAGACACATTTTCAACCGAGAAAATAAAGATGAACAACTCACCTCTCTCTGCTCACCCTCTCACCTCTCTGCACCCTATTTGTGCAATGTTTGGATCCTGTCTTAAGTGAAACAGAGACCCCAAGTTTCTATCCATCCGTACGCAAACTTCCTACTTCATGTTTAGCTTTCCAAGTGGAACAGACAAGGGCTGAAAAGACATGACAACTTGGCTGTGGGGTGTCTCCCTCCCCTCGTGGGTCATTGGCCACCGGTCCATGAAGACAAAGGGAGCAGAAGTGACGAACGGGGTCAGGACAGCCAGTGAGCACTGATGGAAGAAAGCCCTTCCGGGAGGCAGATTCAGTGATACAGCTCCAGACTCAGTGAAACAGCTCTGTTTATTCAGTGGGGGTTAGGGAAAATATAGTAGCAGCCAAAGCTTCAGCTGATAGGTGCTCATAGTATGCTTTATTTACATGTGGTAGGGGGATCCTATCACCTGGCTATAGGGCAGTGCCTAATTATCATATAGAAAAAACCTGGGGGTAGTTTTTACTCCAGGTAACTATGCCAAAGGTCATGTTCCAAATAAGGTCAGACATCCCTGCTTGGCGGCACTTTCCAGGCAAGTCAGGCAGGAAGCCCCTGCTGAGAAAGGAACCGACCTTAACAGCAGGGTTCCCCAACACCAAGTGGAACAGACAAGGGCTGAAAAGACAGGACAACTTGGCAAAGGGTTCAAACCCAGAGGAAGTGACTTGCTCTGGATAGGTCATCATCTCACATAAGTTCTGGCCCTGCTACCACATTGGGGCCTGTGGGGAGCTGCCTCTGGAACCTTCCCTTGCTTTGCTGCTAAGGTCATGTTTGGCAATTTTGAGAAAGAGCCAATTCAAAAAATTTAACTGAAACTCTGTGGCCAGGAAGAGAATTCAAAACCAGCAGCATTTAGGAGTTTTAAATGTTTTCCTCATAGAAACCCAAGGTCATTAACAAACATTGACCCATACTAGGGGAGCACAGCCCACAAGGCACAGGCAGAGGAGTGGAGGAGTGATAGATGTGGTAACTCTACTGGACATCACAAGGTAAGTTTAGGGAACATTAAAAGATCATTGAGATTGTTTTTTTGTTTTGTTTTGTTTTGCTTTGTTTTTAATGGCACGGTGTTCTGGGTGTTTCTTCTTTGAAAGTACAGTTTCAAAAATTCTGCAAGAGATGAGCTGCGAAGTACCCTCAAAAACAGATCCCTTCCACCCATCCAAGAACCATCACACTGCACTGGAGTTTCTGGACTGAGGAATGTTATTTTGAAATCTGCTTATGGGCAGGAAGGCTTACATCAGGGAATGGGGTTGTTGGCAGCCTTCCCGTCTCCTGACAGACTTGGGGCTGGCTGTGCTGGCCATGTGCTTGCTTTTTAGTCCCCTGAGGAAGTGTGTTGAATTCTTTTAGAAAAAAAAATGTAGGCAGAAAAGAGAACGTCAACAAGCTTTCCATAGCCTCTGATCAGCCAGGTGCTACAGGAAATTGTGCCTGTGACTTTAAGGGTTTGTATCTGACGGGGGTAATTTCCTGCACTGTGCCATCTGACTCATGTGAACGATTTTCTCCTCTGTGTACTCTTTAATAAGAGCGTGTTTACTGATCTGAAATGAGGGCTGCTTTCTTTTTCGTTTTGTTAAATAGTTGGATGACATTATTACTAACCTCGGCGTCTTCCTTCTGTGTCTTTCTTTGAAAAATGAATTGTTCCTCTCACACTCTGGGATTTTGGGGTCATAATAAGAGACTATGGCCTCTCTTTCCCTCCCTCCCTCTCAGATTGTGGGCCATTAGAACCCTAATTTTTGGCAGGTATGAGGCAGTATAAATTTAATCTCTCCAGCAATGCTATCTATTCTTGACAAACAAGAAAAGTCAGCTTAATTTTTCCATTTATTTCCTTGGGCCACTGATGTTTTTCAGCCGCCATTCTTCCATAGAGACTATTTTTATTTTCCACCCCAGGATATTCTAAGTTGAAAATAACAAGGTAACATTATTGACAATGCTATTTAGATGAATCATTATTTTAGTAGAACCATTAAGCGTAAAAATTACCAGGATAACTTGGCATTCTTACAAATAGGAAAAAGTAAACATTGTTGAATGAATTAATTATTTAGAGTTGTGTGTGTGTGTGTGTGTGTGTGTGTGTGTGTGTGTATGTGTGTGTGTATTCTGAGACAGGATCTTGGTTAAATGCTGGGATTCTAGGTGTGTACCACCATATCTGGCTCTAAAATATTCTTTATAGATTTTGAACTTGTAGAAATAGATCATTAGCTACAGAGAGGCTAACCTGCAACTTCTTTCTACTTCACTCCTCTGCCCTTCCCCATACATAGGCTTCAAGATTTATTAATAGTGAAAAAAATAAAAGTCAGGAGCCATGAAGTCTCTCAGGCAGGTCGCGTACCGGTCAAGAATTCCAACTCGCTGATAAGTAAGTTTTATGGCCGAGACATCTGGCTTACTGATAAGTAAGTTTCATGGCCGAGACATCTCCAACTCACTGATAAATAAGTTTTATGGTTGAGACATCTGGCTTAGTGATAAGTAAGCTCCCCGCTCTCCCTGTAGCATTTTGTAATAGTTTAAACTAACCAATAACCACGTTTCTGCTTCTGTATCCCACTTCTGCTCTATAAAAGTACCAAACCCCAGCCTGTAGGCGCGCAAGTCCCCCGAAGAGACTTTGTACCCACAGGTACCTGTGTACTAAATAAACCTCTTACTGTTGCAACCCGAAGGCTGACTTGTCCTCTGTGGTTTCACTCTTACATTTGGAGGTTCCACCGAGATTTGTCGGTCAGAGGGAGCCACAGGACAATTCGAGCCTTGCGGGGAGGTGAGTTGGCCAGCCTCTGTGTCGTATTGTCTGGTTTTGTTGATAGTGCAGCATCTGTAGAATCTGGGGATCCCGTCAGTATTTCTGG